CCCCCCCCTTCCCAGGCTTCGTCTAACCCTACACTACAGAGTTAGGTCAACGTAAGGCAGCTTACGTTGATGGCGGGGCTGGGGGCTCCGGCCAAGAGCCCCACATGGCAGTGCCGGGGCTGGGGGCTCCGGCCAACAGCCCCACATGGCGGGGCTGGGGGCTCCGGCCGAGAGCTCAGGTTGCCGGCCCCAGGGCAGGGGTGGGGCTCCAGCTGTCAGTGCTCCACATAGTTAAGTCAGTGGAAGTGCTCCTGGTAAGTGCGTGACAGCCAACAGAGGGGGCATAGCACGGACATGAACCCCCGCAGCTGTAAATCGACCTAGCTCGGATCAAAATTAATTTTTTAGCATAGTCAGTCATCTCTGCTCAGAACCCGGCTTTCCAAGCTGCCAGCCCTGCAGACTCTGCCTGGGATCTGAAAGGCAAGCCGGGTTCCTTCCTGCCGCATCAGTAACGGAGACCCTGTGGTTAGCGCGCCACTGACAACTGCTTTGATGCTGCCTTGTGAAACAGCAGAGATTCCAGCTCGCTCTCCCGCAGCCGCTGCCAAGAGGAGTTAGAAATGCACGCGTCAGGAAGTAAAGACTAAGCAGCGCTGGTATGGGGCCATTTCGACGTGGCTATTTCAAACATCCACCCAGAATGCCAAGGAGAAGCTTCAGTTCAGTGGCTTTACACAAGCGCTGTGTGTATTTTGCTACTGTGGTTGTGTTTACTGTCTCTCAAGAGCCCTTCACCGCCTCTCCCAGCTTCACCTGCCTATGTGAAGCACAGGGTGTCCGATCTGGATTCGGTCCTTTGCATCTGTGCTTACGCGCTTTGGTTTGACTCCAAGCGACAGGCCGGAGTCTGATCAAGGACATGCAAGCAAACACCCAGGGTACGTCTATACTTCCCTCCGGGTTCGGCGGTAAGCAATCGATCTTCTGGGATCAATTTATTGCGTCTTGTCTAGACGCGATAAATCGATCCCGGAAGTGCTCGCTGTCGATGCCGGTACTCCTGCTCTGAGGAGTATGCGGCGTCAACGGGGGAGCCTGCCTGCCGCGTGTGGACCCGCGGTAAGTACTTTGTAATTCGAACTAAGGTACTTCGACTTCAGCTACGTTATTCACGTAGCTGAAGTTGCGTATCTTAGTTCGAACTGGGGGGTTAGTGTGGACCAGCCCCCCGAGTAAATGGATTGGCACCAGTGCAAACGAGAGCAGAATTCAGCCTGTATGTTCAGGTTCAGAGGGCTTGGGAAGTGGAGACAGACCAAGCAATCAGGTTTCAAGTGAGAGCTAAAAGCACCTCATTTATCCCTCGCAGCACCGCACCACACCACACCCAAGAAAAAGGAGAACCAACTACTGGACCACGAACGGCTTCCCGCAGCAGCCCTTGGAGATCTGCCACCCGGTATCCACCAGCTTTGATCTCATTGAGCCGAGAAGATCTAATGAGATCACCGCACAAGATGGAGCCGGCCTCATAGTCAACGGGTCTGCCCATACCTTGACTCCGCTGCGTCTAGCAGGCCAGGGCCCTGGGCACCATAGGCCAAAACTTACCTTCAGGTCGAAGTGCGCTATGCGCTTGGAATGCAAGTAGTGGACCCCATCCAGGATCTGCTTGAGGAACTGCGTGGCCTCTTCCTCCGTCAGGGACTCCTTCTCGGCCAGGAAGTCAAAGAGCTCGCCCCCCGAGACCAGCTCCAGGATCAGCACCACGTCCGTCTTGTTCTCAAAGATGTCGTGGAGCGTGATGATGTTGGGGTGCTGGATCTCCCGCAGGATGTCCACCTCCCTCTCGATCTCCTCCCGGCTCACGCCCCGCCGGCTGGACGACAGGCGCCGCTTCTTGATGAACTTGGCCGCATACTCCAGGCCGCTTTTCTTCTCCCGGCACTTCCGCACGATGGCGAACTGGCCGCTGCACGGGGGGAAAAAGGACGCATCAGTTAATAAGACCTCTCCTCATTGGTACCTGCCTGGAGGAGTCAGGGGTAGCTACAGCCTGCGATGCTCGGAGTCTAAAGAGACCTCCCATTGGTGCGTTTCCTTACTGAGAAGGGTGCAACTCCTTACAAACCCGCTGGGAGCCACAGTACTTCCACGGGCAGCAGGTAAAGCCCTTCCACTCAACTCTAGGTCTAAGCGTCTGCCTTCTCCATGCACCACTTGGCCGACTGAGGGATTGGGGTATCATGGACACTGAAAGCTGAGCACCAAGCAGAATAAAAGCCCCTTTCTTGGAGAGCACACTTCAACCGCCTGGGGCATACAAACAGACCGAATTGCTGCCAAGCCAGGACAGATCAATAGCCCAGCTCATCCCCTGTGGTTGTCAGTCTGTGATGCATCAGAGGCAGGATTGGAATAAACCGATACTGCCGCTACATGCCACTGTGCTGGGTAGGATGAGAGAAGGAAGGAAGAGACTTCCCCTCCTGGCTGCAGATAGAGTTCAGTTAATATCCTAGAGCAGGGGTGCGCAAAGCCCAAGGGCCACATCTGGGTATGGAAATTGTGTGGTGGGCCATAACTGCTCACGAAATTGGGGGTTGGGATGCAGGGAGGGAGGGGGGTGATGGTTCCGGCTGGGGTGTGAGCTCTGGATCGGGGCTGGGGATGAAGGGTTGGAGGTGCAGGAGGGTGCTCCGGGTTGGTACCAAGGGGTTTGGAGGACGGGAGGAGGATCAGGGCTGGGGCAGAGGGTTGGGGAGCGGAAGGGAGTCAGGGGTGCAGGCTCAGGGCGGCGCTTGCCTCAAGTTGCTCCCGGAAGCAGTGGCATGTTCCCCCTCCGGCTCCTACACGGAGGCGCAGCCAGGTGGCTCTGCGCCCTGCCCCGCCTGCAGGCGCTGCCCCTGCAGCTCCCATTGGCCACAGTTCCTGGCCAATAGGAGCTGTGGGGGTGGCGCTTGGGGCAGGGGCAGCATGCAGAGCCCCTTTGCTGCCCCTACACGTAGGAAGCAGAGGGGGGACATGCCGCTGCTTCCGGGAGCCAGGCAGAGCCACGGCACACGCGGGGAGGGAGGCAGGAGCTTGAGAGCCAGATCTTGAGGGGATGCGGCCCCCACAGGCCGTAGTTTGCCTACTCCTGTCCTAGAGCATTTGGATTGATGGCTCATGCTGGTTTTATCCTAAGTACGTCACTGCAGATGCTGTTCTGATTCAAACAGATCTCTAGCCCTTCCTTGAAACGTATTCATCTACCCAGGTATCAGGAAGCATATCGTGGCAACAGCGTGATTATGCTGCTTAGACATTTGTGCAATATCCTGCTGATACATAACCACAAGATACAGGGCTCAGTGCTGGAATCAGGCAGTTCCCGTGGCCTGACGCTCACAATGGTCCCTTCCGGCCTTCAGATCCACGAATCCAGCGGCTCAAGAGTTCCAACCACCATTGTGGAGCACCCCGAGATGTCAATTTCACCGTGAGGCGCATTTGGGGAGAAGCACGCCTGTGCAACTGACCCAGACAGCAATGCTCGGCGCTCACAGAGCTCTTTAGATTTGCAAGTGCTTTGTGAATACTAATTTAGAACACGTGCTCCCCCTCCCCATGGTCTATGTCAGCGACGCCCCCATTTTACAAGCAGGAAAATTGAGGCTCTGAGAGTTACGTTACTGACACACAGGGGGTTGGCGACAGAGTCAAAAAAACAGAACCCAGGGAATCCAGACCCCCAGACCCACAAAACCATGCCGCCTCTGGAAGTTACACGCCCAGATTTAGGTGCATTTCTTCCTCTTCCTGGGAGGATCAAAATTAACTGCCCCTGCTTTAGGGTGACCAGATAGCAAGTGTGAAAAATCGGGACTGGCGGTGGGGCGGTAATAGGCGCCGATATAAAGACAAAGCCCCAAATATCAGGACTGTCCCTATAAAATAGGGACATCTGGTCACCCTACCCCCCCCCCCCACACACACACACACACACACAC